ATGCCTTTTTAAAAACTTTGTTCCATTGCTCCAGTAAGGATTTACAGTATGGTAATATTGGATAAGAATGATAAAAGTAGAAAACTTTAAATTGTTACTGATCTTAGGAGAATAGATTTACCATTTCACCAGTAAATGTTATGTTAGCTGAAGGTCTTTGTTGTTGGTGTTGGTTTTTTTAGTATATAGAGTCTCTTTCAGATTGAAGTTTTTTTTTCTTCCTAGTGTTTTGAGCTTTCATCATTCATGAATGAGCACTGGATGTATACCTTTATAAACAAAACTCAGTGTTGGAAGCTGAATGACAGCTTCGAGCAGGTTGGATTGACAGGCCAGTCTCAAGCTGGGAAACATAATTATCTTTTCTTTTCCTCTGTCCCTCCGTGTGTGTAGTGGGGGATGATTCAAAAAAAGTGCTTCCGTATAATTGCATTATTTTTTTCAGAATTGAGAAGAAGTTCCTAATCTTTTAAGTTATTAGCTACTATTTTTAAGTGGCTATATCCTGGCATCCCTTGCAAGATATTCATGCTGTACATATATGGAAAAGCATAACTGGCCTGGGCAACCTAGTTTTCCAAGGTTATCTGGATGACTGTCATCAATCAGTTTTTTCCTGTGCTGCCTGTGTAGGATGCCCTAGGTCAAAATGCTCTCTGTCCCCTGGGAGAACAGTTTACTTTCCATGAGGGACCTTTGTATTTACACAGCAGCTGTAATATAAATACTGAACATGCAGCTGGTGGCTGGGTACCCCCTCTACCCTCACAAGAGAAGAGGAATTTAGGATAAAATTTTATGGAGCATAAGCACAGGTCCTGCCCCCTATTAGACACTCAGTAAATAACTGAGTAAAAAAACTGATGCCTGTTTAACAGGTTCTCTACAATGTGGAGACTTCCAAAACATACCTCTTACAAAATGTCTTTTTCTTTGTGAACTTCAGGTAGTTTTGCCATTGGGATTTGTGGAAAAATCTCTCTTTGCAGCAAGGAATGAAGAGTGGAAGAGACTTCGAGTCTTGCTGTCACCAGTATTCTCCAGTGGGAAACTCAAGGAGGTAATAAACTAAGAGGACTTTAGTTAGAAATTTAAATAAGGATTTGGGGATGGGACATACATGAGAACATCATCGTTTTCCAAAGAATATTTCACTAGGTTTGAAATTCCTAATTTAAAAAAAAACTAAAAGTAAATATCAGAAAGATCAATAGAGTAGAAGGAAGGGAACAGAGGGAAGGAAGAGAGGACAGAAAGGGGAAGTATTGGGACTGAGTTAGAACAAATTATTTTTCCATGCTTTTATAATTATTTCAAAAGGAAACATTGTTATGTATAAATAAAAAGAACTAATTAAAAATTTTAAATCATCTTTTGTCTTTATGTCCTAGAAGAGATATTATTTGATTCATTATAAATATCTCATACTTTATAATCCTGGGAAAACCAGAGCCTCGGGGACTCGATTCTCCTCTAACTGTGGGTGGAGTTGTGTTTTGTGCTTAGATGCTCCCCATCATTAAC